ATGCAACTTCAGCTACGTGAATAACGTAGCTGAAGTCGACGTACCTTAGTTCGAACTTACCGCGGTCCACACCCGGCAGGCAGGCTCCCCCGTCGACTCCGCGTACTCCTCGCGGCGAGCAGGATTACCGGAGTTGACAGGGAGCACTTCTGAGTTCGATTTATCGCGTCCAGACAAGACGCGATAAATCGAACCCAGAAGTTCGATTGCCTGCCGCCGAACCAGCGCGGTAAGTATAGACAAGCCCTTAATCTACAGCCAGGGAAAAACTTTCTAACCATAAGGGTAGTTAATCTCTGGAATAGGCTTCCAAGGGAGGTTATGGAATCCCCATCACTGGAGGTTTTTAACAGGTTGGACAAACCTGTCAGGGATGGTCTACGTGTATTTGATCCTGTTTCTATGCAGGGGGCTGGACCTGATGACCTCTCAAGGTCCCTTCCTGCCCTACATTTCGATGGATTCTAGGATTGCATTCTGGGGGCTAGTGCATACAATTTGATATGTTTACAAAAACAAACAAAACAAACCACACACACACACACCCCAGACACTGAAGATACTTACCAACTTAGTATCCACTATTTCAACAGCTTTGCCACTAGGGACGAATGCATTTGCTATATTTTTAATACTCTGAATTACAGTCTTCAACTAGAAAGGCAAAAATTAAGTTAGAGTTCAAGATTGTGGTAACGTTTGCATTTTAATATAGGAAATGATAAAAGCAAAAATGATCATCTGATGCTAGTGATGAGAGACAAACATTGCCAATTTCTGCAGCCATTTAAGAGCCTAATTCTGGAACCCTTGCTCACTATCTTATTCACACAAAACAATAAGGGCCCTATTCTGAGAAACTTATCTCAAGTACATACACTAGAAAAGCTTCAAATTTGCTCCACTTGAGTGCACATAACAAATGCAGTCCTGTTGTAAATGGTGAAACTCCACTGATTTGGTTTACATGGTTCAAGAGGGAGTACATGGTCTAATATATTGGTAAAAATATAGACCAATGTTTTCAAGTCTAGCTAAAAACAGGTTCCTAAAACCTATATTTGGGCAAAAGCAGAACTAGCTTAGTTTTAAGAGGTGATGAACAGCCCCAGCTGACATTGGGCATCTGCTTCTCGCATTGACTTCAACACATCTGGGGGGGAAAAGCTACTTCTAATTAGAGGCCTAAATATGAATTTTAAGCCTAACTTTAGAGACAGGCAGATTTGAAAATCTGAAACAGTTCCTTTTCTCTTTAGGTTCAAACCAAACACACTTGAATAGTGTTCAAGAGCTATTTCTACCCAATGGCTTATTAGATAGCTTGAATGAACCAAATTTAGTGACCTCTTTCCATACCACAAAAAGCTCCACCACAGTCGGTGCCCTAATTTACAGTGTTACGAGGGCCAAAAACAGTATGGTGATGAGGAATGGACTATCCATTCAGCACCAGAGTCAGTTTCTCCAAATTAGGAAGGAGGCATACTGACTGGATCGTGTGGGAAAGTTAAGACTACTGCTGCTGTATCCTGTGTTTGTGGATAGAATACTTCAGCCCCCAGAAGGCTGTCTGGCACAATTCCCTCATAATAAATGTGTTTAGATTTAAGGAGAAAACGTTGATAAGAAAAATAAGTCCACCTCAGGAAACACCACTCTTCAAAATGTTCTAATTACTAGTTAACTTACCTTCTATTATGTCAGATCCAGTTTGAGAATAAACATTTTGTAGGAAGAAAGTGTTTACTTAAGCCACCATCCCCCCCCCACCCCCCTCAAGTCAAGACCTTAAGTCAGACTAGTTCAAGTACAGAAAACTGGAATTAGAAACATTAGTCATTAAATATTTCAAAGGTAAATTCTTCCCACTCACTCTTTCCTGTGAGTCTCCATGAAAAAAAGTTAAAGCTAAACTTAAGAGCAAAAGCTTTATTTCATACCTCTATTTTTTTGTCACTCAGCAACTTATCCCATCTTCTGCTGGGAGGTAAATCAAGATTTATGATGTATGTTGGAACCGTTCCTTTGAATCTGAAAAACAGATACCAAAGTTCATATTTATAAAAGTTTATAAAACTGTGCTATACCAAGTACAAGGCCAAAACTATGAAATATGTTTTTGTTTGATTCTGTTATGCGAGCAAGCCAGAAGCTTAAACTGCCTCCCCCCCCCCCCAATTCACTGTTTTCCTGTAATGTGATAGAAAGTGTACCAGTAATTTGAGTTACTCACGTTGGTCCTGCAGGAGGATATGTTTTACTTCTGCAGTCTTCTCCAAACTGTAAAGAGAGAAACAGTACTGTTTAAGAATGTAAAGGGTTTTTTTTTTAACCAACTTCTTGGTTACCTTTTTTTGTTTGTTTGTTTTTAATATGCTATGTAGTCTTAGGTTTTTGGTCCTTTTAAATGAAGCATGTCCAGCTCCCCTGTGCCAGTACAGGGGCTTCCAGTTTGACCAATTAGGGGGACCAGGCAGCACATGCAGCTATGAAGGATCAGGGAGAAACACATAGGGAAGACAGTCTCTGGGGAAAAACTGAAGAAATGTTCACTGGCTGACCTCCCCAAGCTGGAGAGGGAGTTAACTACTGACTTCCAAGCTGGAGAGCTGAAACAAAGGACCAGAGAAGACTGAAGGCAAGGGTGCAACAGAGGGGTTTACCCAATGAGAGCTACATGCTGGAGAGCTGAAAGAAGTTAACAGGAGAGGAGTGAGGTATGTTCCCTGACATGGATGAACTCCCAGCAGAGAGGGGTTCCTGCTGGGAATAGTGAGGTTGTACTCCAGGCAGAAGGGCTGGGTGGCTGTCCTGGCAGAAGGCCAGGAGAGGACCAAAGAGGCGCTGGGAGCATGGTATGTGTTATGTCAAGGATTAGATGCACTGCTGGTGATAGATGTCCCAAAGCATCGTCCTTTTGTTCTGGATTATTTGCATTATGTTTTTGTAATAAATGGGCCCCAAGAAGGGGTGTTGAAACAGGACAGTCTGCTGTAGAGTCCTTAAAGGGCCTGACAGAGGAAGTGGGACAGTAACCCTGGCCTTAAGACGCTCAGACACAAGCAGGTGCTTGGGAATGATAAGGAATCATTCATACTTTTATCATAAAGAATAATCTAACCAGTTGGTTAGCTGAGCAATCACAACAGGCTAGGAAAAAATCCCATATTTTGGTAGTCCAAGCTGAACAAGTGAATTTAAAGTTATTTATTGTTTAGTGGACAAGCTAATGGCTTGCACTTAATCCTATATATTAACTGATTGCTCCTATTGTGATCAGAGGTGCCAGTGATAGCACTTAGCATTTACAAAGCATTCTGTTAAGAGGTCAGAATAATTCAGAAGCATTAAGTAAATCACCACACACGTGCAAGATAGGCATGTTTGATATTATCCTTGTCTTACAGATGGGTGGCAAAGGCACATACAAATTTAGCAAACCACTTAAGTCACGAGACCTTGCTATATGGTACAGACATTACCTACTGCTGACATGTGCAGCTAAACTGGTGCTGAATATGGCTTAAATAAAATGTAGCCAAGGGGAAATTACATTCGGCACCATTTAATTTTACATTCAGCACCAATACAGAAACTGATTAACTGCCAGCATAATCCCAAGCATAACAGCTGCACCCAATGTGAGCAATGAATACTTTTTGTACTATAGCGAAGTCTAGGAGTCAGCATCAGGGTCAGAACCCAAGTCTCCCTACTCCCAATCCTGTGCTGCACCAGCTATTCCACTCTGGCAACTCACCTCATTTGACTTGTAAGTGTAGCCAGCTAACAGAAGTAATGGAAAAAATTACCAGCCTGCTTCTGAGTTTTGTTCACCCAAGCACACCCCCACATTGCCCTACAGAACAAGTGCACCCCAAAGTGTTTTATGGGCACAAATGCCATTTACAAATTAACAGGCAGACTCAATTATTTGCAGTTTGACAGGTTTCAGAGTAGCAGCCGTGTTAGTCTGTATCCGCAAAAAAGAACAGGAGTACTTGTGGCACCTTAGAGGCTAACAAATTTATTAGAGCATAAGCTTTCGTGGACTACAGCCCACTTCTTCGGATGCATACAGAGTGGAATAAATACTGAGGAGATATATATACACACATACAGAGAGCATAAACAGGTGGGAGTTGTCTTACCAACTCTGAGAGGCCAATTAAGTAAGAGAAAAAAAACTTTTGAAGTGATAATCAAGATAGCCCAGTACAGACAGTTTGATAAGTACATTGGCCAAACCGGACAGTCTCTATGCAAAAGAATTAAT